CGGCGGCCAAAGCCTTCCCAGCGAAGCTCGCTGCTGCTCTCCGCTGGACTAGCGCCGCCGCCGCCGCCGCCGCCGCTCCCAGCCCTGCTGGAGAGGACGCCTTTCCCGCAGGAGCTGATGGCCCCCCGGGGGGGGGGAGGTCCTGCGGGCAGCCCGTCAGTCCTTTTCCGAGGACCGGAGGGGCCTCTTTGGGCCAGCCGGGGCGAGCCGATTCTGGCCCGGTGGGCAGGCGGGCAGAGCGGAGAAGCTGGGAGAGAAGGCTGGCAGGAAGCAGAGGAGCGTCCCTCCTTAAGCAGCAGAGCCGGCCCAGGCGGTCCCCTCAAGCCGTCTGCCTGCCGGGGCCTGCGCTTGGCTTTCCTCCTTCCTGCTCTCCCCCAAACCCATCCTTCTCCCGGTCTGGCTCAAAGGAGACCCGGCCGTTCCTCCCTTGTCTTTCGGATCCTGTCGGGGGAGCATCTCTCTTGGCCCGGGGTGTGTGTGTGTGTAGGGGATGGGGAGCATCCGAGCGGGAGCGCAGGGCGGAGGCGCACCTCCCCGCCAGCCAGGGCTTCCTCCATAGGAGCACCGCGTGAGCGGGAGCGCAGGGCGGAGGCGCGCCTCCCCGCCAGGGCTTCCTCCATAGGAGCACCACGAGGGGGAGGCCCGGGTTCCTCTTTCCTGGGGGAATCAGCAAGCAGGCAACTCGAGGCAGCGTCTTGGGAAGTTTCTCTCCAAGAAGACACCCGCCTTGAAACACGACAGGAGCCGTATGTTGGCACAGCTGCCTTTCCGGGTTTTGACTCGACAGCTGTTTCTGCTCTTCCTGGGTGTTGCTGCTCTTGCTCAATGCTGGGGCTAGTTTTCCAGCCTGAGGTCTGCTCTCCGCCCCAAAATCAAGGCTACCTCTGAGCATGCGAAGACCTCTCGCGTTCTCGGCAGCACCGAAGAACAACGGCCTGCTTCCTGCTCTTTGAGAAGGAAAAGCGATCAGAGGGAGAGCAGGAGGCCCACCGACCCATCCTTCAGATCAGAGCACAAGGGGTGGGCCGTGAGAGGGTCCGGGAGGAGGAGGAGGAGG